GGGGGGGGGGGCGAGGGGAAGGGGTCGGCTTCCCTTCCGCGGCTTGTCATTCTTAAAACCCGGACCCCCCTCTTTAAATAATCCTGGATCCATGTAAAGCCACGCCTTGGCGCTTGTTATAAAATCTGATAAAACCGGTTTTGTTTCTCAAACTCATTCCCAGTTGGCTTTACAAGGCCAAAAGTGTCTAACTGGGCAAACTAGCCCCGGTTTCCCCTATAATGTAACATTGTTGGTCGTCTACTTCCAATGCTCAGTTAGTGTTAAGAAGTGTGGCGGGAACTTTTTTTAGCTGTGTTGCTTATTGTATCTGCTGATGACGACCATCGTGGAATTAGTTTCGTTTTCTTCTTAACACAAATGTTGAACAAACTTTTGCGTTCTACGTCACTGAAACCTGTGTAAACAATGACGTATCCACAGCGCACTTTTCGAAATGGCGAACTTGCAAGAATTGAAGACGGGTAGGAAATGATGGATTACTTATATATTTAACACCGATTGATCGATTTTGTAATGTTGGGTCGGGTCATTTTATATTAAGGATATGGTAGGTTTGGCTAAAAAGTAAAAATTCCTAAGTTATCATTTCAGGGGGATGTCTCTTTTCGACGGGATTGACTTTTCATTGCAAAGTTTCTTCAAATTCTTGAGTAGGGAAGTGATACCCTTATCTATCTTGACCATTTACTACATGGTACGCGATTTTCAATTTCATCATTTCACCTCGTAAAGCCTAACGCAAGTTCTACCTATATAATAAACTATGATATCACAAAGTTTTGTAATCGTCTATATAAATGGAAAAATCTATCACAGAAATAATCTGAATAGGCAAAAATAAACCTGTTCTTAGTGATTATTTCAGGGTAGTAGATCTGGTGGCACAAGATTGCTTTTCTTGGCAGGATTTCTTTCTATGTTATGGAGACTAGAAGACGCAGAGATCTTCAGATGCAACCATGGGCTTTAGCGTCTTTGGGGTGCACAGAAATTTCTTGAGGTGTTGTCTCCTTTGCAGGGAGGATATTCTTTCCCAATCATTGAAATCTACTACAAAATCCTTACATCCATCTGCTAGTTGAACCCCACCCCCCTTGTATAAACACCCTCTCTATGTCCTCATAATAATTGGACACAAGCCTTTCCAATGAATCTACCAACTTTGGAATGTCAAATTGCTTCCAACCTGTTCTCAATTTCAAAATATGGTTCAAGGATTTGCAATTATTATTATTGGTCCATCCATGTGCAACTTCGCGTCAACACAGTACTTTGTCCTGGTAGTCCCTGATGATTGGCAGTATTTGTTCTGTGAACTAAACTTCAAATTCTGCCCCTGCTAAATTTGAACATGTCTTCTTTCCTACATTCGAATATTGGTCACGTAGTGGAATATGTCAGTCCGAGCTTTCCAAATATAAGGGAAATAAGTTATATTGTATATTGTAATGCCCTGTCACTCTTTTTTTTTATAAGGTAAACTGATCTATGTCAGTTACCCTTATTAAAATACCAAGAAGTTTTGCAAGCTGCCTATGTGTCTGTTCAGCTAAACCTTCCAGACTGGCAGGGCAGAACTATAATATATTGACATATTTCATGGGCATTTCTTTCATTATCATTCAGAAATCCAATTTTTATTTCATATCATCATTATAATGTTAATGAATACAAACTATGACAGTAAGCACTCATATCAGTATACATTATTTTTTGTTTTTGTAGTGGTCAAAGAAACACTGGAAAAGCGTGGTGTACTTGGTCAGATCAAGGCCAGGGTCAGGGCGGAGGTATTCAATGCACTTGATGACCAGGCAGATCCCAGACCTCCTCTCAGTAATGAAAACATGATCATCAATGAGTTAATAAGAGAATATCTTGAATATAATAAGTACAAGTACACTGCATCAGTGATGCTTGCAGGTGAGCATCCATGCTTCCTCACCCCTTGAATTTGTCATTTAAATCAATAACATACCACATTCTGGGCGACCCTACTTGTTTCTTTCGCCTTTATGTATGTTAAAATATTCCCATCGTCTGTCCTTGCTTTTCTTAAATTTGCACATTAAAGAAATTGCATTTTAAAACAATTTTTTTAATTGAACCCCTGGATTTATTTTGATGTAACTTTGTATGCAGTTCAAATATGAAAGGTGAAAATGAAAAATGCAATAGTTTTAGAACAATATTTTAAGACGGAAACATATTGATGGAATCATTTATGAAAAAACTTGATTGTTCAATGTTTAGTTCCTTTGCTTTATGTATTACCCTGTTAATAAATGAAAACAAATTGTGCCAACCTCATTTTTGACTTTTTTTTTTTCCATTTGATAGAAACCGGGCAGCCAAAAACACCTTTGAACAGAGAGTTCCTAGCTGAGCAATTGAATGTTGTAGAAGATAAAACAGCATCCTCTTTGAAATTGTGAGTACAGTTTGTACATCTCATAAGCTGCAGACAGAAAGTGATCATGAATAATATTATATAATATTAATAACTTCAAACATGCACCAAATGTACCAGTATACAAAGATGCGAGTTTTGGACAAAACTATATAGCAGTGAGGATAACAAATGGGCATTCCTAACATATTTTTAACTTTTTTCAGACCTCTTCTATATAGTATCATTGCTCAGTTCACCCCAGGAAGTAGACATCAAGTAGACAAACCTGCACACCAAGAACAACATGGTAGGGGAAGGATGGGACTGCTGGAACAGCTAGACAGAGGTAATATCTTAACTGCCTATTTTCAAATGAATGAATTAATAAATTATATATGTAATTGTTTATACAAAAGGAAATATTATATTTCAAATTACTCACCTTTTTTGCCTAAACATTATAAATAAGCTAAAATTTGTGTAGCATTTACTGCACCGTCCAGCAGAAAGGATTGGGAGTTTTGGCATAGTAACCCAGTCCTTCAAGCACATTTTGATACAGGCTTGTAGAGCATATTTCATAATCATTTCATTAGTGCAAAAGCTCAACAGCAGACATGAGCCAGAGGTTTTGTTGGATCACCAGCTGGGCTATAGCCATGGCCATCATAGAAAATTTAAATGATACCCATCTCCTTTCCAGCACTTATCACAGGGATGGGACTTTTTGGCTCCTAAAAAGTCAGAAATCTACTGCTAGTCTAACAAATCCCATAACTGTTGTAAGCACCAACAACACCAAAAAAGTTGGAAATCTGCTGAAAGCAAAAAAATCTCATCCCTGTTATCAGAGAGGTTTGAAGCCAATTACATCATGTAATGCCTGTCACAGCATTATACTTTCAGTGTGGTTGAGCAAATTTTCCACACTGCAGAAGAAATTGAAGGCCTTTAACTAGGTAGTAAATCAACCTACAGTCAACTTGATGAAAGGAGTCCTGTTCTGTTTCTCTGATAACCTGAAAAATACCTTTTATCAGTAAGATGCCCCCCTTAAATTCTCTTTTAAAATCGTGTCCAGATTTCTTGGGTACATAGTTGTGATTTTTTTTTCAGATCGTATTGGTCACAGTCATGATGGACTAGCACAAGACCCACTTATAATGAGAGGTGGATACCGATGAAGTACTCAAGTGTAGTCTACAAAGAAATCAAATACCCATAGACTGTTAAACTGTAATGGAAAGTAAATTGAAGAGAAGCCAAAGAAAGTATCACGTTCAGTATGATTTAAAATCATCTGCATTTGGTGATGGCATAAATTAACTGACTAAAGTCCAACAGCTGTTCACACCATGGATACATCTTTGTCAGTTCGTGCAATTTAGTCACTGTGACAGAGTCGGGATGATGTAAAGCACTTACCAATGGCTACAAATGAAAAAGACTTCTATGAGGGGGCTGTTGCACCTGAATAGACCAGAAAGCTGTTACTAAACAGAGCTGGGCTAGTTTTTTGCTGAGGTTATTGCCATATAAACAAACTGCAAAACTTCCTGTATGCTGGAGTTACCACATTAAACGAAACAGCACATTGAAAAAAATACGGTATTTATTTATTTATTTATAAATTGTCAACGTGGAAATAACATGCAATGTATAACAAAAAGATAACTGTTACACTGCATTTGAACTAAATGCATGTGAAATTAATTCTCAACAATTCTTTGCTTTTTCGTGAGCAATGTTTAACATTTATAAGAAATGTCAAGTNATGAGTGCCACACCCAGACCCCAATACCGACAAAGCCCAAATTTTACGTGGAACGAGTTGAGATTATAGGTGACCTAAATCCATGAGATGGGTATGGGGGGCCTTACCGTCTAGGAGGAGAAGCGGTAACGGTAGCCGTCCGGCGGAGCCGGCGGAACGATCCGGACGAGACCGAAACCATGTGTACCGCCAGCGCTAACGCTGGTGGTACAATTATAAACTCACTTTTTGAGCAGGTTATATCTTAAATGTTTGTTATAAGTCTTCAGTGTATGAATTGACATGTGCATGTAAAACCAAATATGAAAGATCCACAATCCAATGAGAAGTGTAACCTTGTAAGTTGTTTTTCTTTATTTTTTAATCAATTATTAGTATTCATAAGTATTAGAAAAATATCCTTAAATGGATTTGATACACTTGTTTGCATAAATCTGAACATATTACGTAGTTTCATGGTGTATAACAAAGAAATTGGGATTTTTATAACTTCACATCAATTCAGGAGGACTAGCACGATTCTTAATACTGACCTTCACTAAATTTGTAGTTTTTATACTGAATGTATGATATATGAGACACGGGGAAATGAGCCTGAATGAACCGATTTCCTCTTTATCCCATTTGCTCATTTCATATTTCATTTTTTTGTTGGAGGTCTCATTGCAATAAATATTTTCTTGATAAATGATCAGAAAAGTACTGTAACTTTGTTTTCATTTTACAAATGAGCACATTTTATCAATCCTTCAAGCCAGTTTTCTTCATTACCTGAAAAACAAAAAGAAAGATGAAAATCAATCACCAACAGACTTCTTTTTCAAAATACCCCACAGATTAATTTATCAAAGTAAACTTCATGAATTTGTAAAATATTAATTTAGTAAATCCACCTTTAATTTCATCCTTTTTGAATGACTTAAAAAATTAAAACCTACATCACAAGTTCTTTTACCATGTCTTAGACCTAGGTATGTGAGGGAAAATAAGTCTCAAAATACACCCACTTGCTCATATACTGTCCAAGCCATAGCTGCCATTAAAGTTCTCCTTAGCGTTCGTGGGACAATACCTCTGACAAAACCAACCAATCCATGGTGCTGAGAAGTAGAAAAGAGAAAAAGGGAAATTATAAAAGTTGTTAATTTTTTTTTTTTTTTTTTGATTATTGTAAATCCAGGATTAGATACACTGATTACAGCCAGGTTTAATTCACATGAAAACTCCAAATTTTTGTAAGTGTTTTGTGTTGACTGACAGTTTTTCAAATCCATGAAAAATTTGCACACAAGAACCCATAAGGATTAGTAGTTACCTGGTATATGTGCTTTATAATAACAATGTATCCTTTGAATTTTTCTGGATACAACTGCAGATGCGTTTTAACAACATCAAAAGGCTGAGTCACCAGTGAAGCCATACTTCCAGCTACAATTCCGCTGCCAAAATACACCAGAGGCATATAATTCTCTTGCACAGCACCTGAAGGTAAAAGAAAATAATAAATCCACATTTCTGGTTAAATTGTAAAATCTGGTCGAAATAAAATAAAGTGAGTGTTAGCTAACACAACCGTTTGTTTTAACAGTGATAAAAATGTATATCTTTTAAAAAATTACCATTTAAAATGACAAAACCTTGAACCATTGATGTTCAGTTTTTATTTCCTTTTTGTATAAATGTTTGTTAAAATGACAATACAATTAATCTTAAATTAACATTGAACCTTACTCAACACTACCTGTAAAAGGATAATCAACATCAATAGTTAATTCACAGCCAAAGCAAGAGGAATACATAAAAAAATATGTGTTCAGGAAAAATTGGTCACAATTTTCAAATATATATGGATAAAACTGAGTCATAATGCAGAGCCTAGAACATAAGACTCCCATTCAATACCAATTACCTTTCTTTTTAGACACAGGTTGGAAGGCAGATGTGGAGAGACATCTAGATAATAGGAAATTAGTATTAATTTGGTATACTCTTTCTATATTTTCTTTTTTGATTACTGTAAGTGTTATGTTATGCATAAGCTTTTGAAAGAGATGTCCCTCAGTCCAAAAAAGAAAAAAATAATGATCTAAATTTCAAAGAGCTGGAAATGCTGGTTATCAAAACACATCAAAGGCTATTTCTATTCCTGGTGTATGTTTGAAAACCAATTATCTCTCTCTCTCTCTCTGAAAAAGTGCAGGCAGTGAATATCACACTCTTTTCAAATTGACGAATATTTTTGTAAAGTAAAACTAAACAGTTAGCAAAGCATGCACAGACACCAAGCAAATAAATTGCATTAAAAAGTAAAGTTATCATAAACCATAAAGTTCATATATATATATATATATATATATATATATATATATATATATATCAAGCAAAAATAATTTTAAATATTTGCTTTACCTTCAGGCACATGAGCCTTAATCCTGGTATAAAACCATAAGTAAAGTCCTGAGAAAGGAGCATCACGGAGTAAGGTTGCACTTAAGCCACAGTATAGACCTGAAAAAGTATTTTGAAAAAAGAAAATAAATATATGTCTCATTTTGCTCTTTAGGCAGTGGTTAAATATTTGGAGTCAGGGGTTTCCCTGAAGATTTGGGGTTCAGGGAGTCAAAAATGTGAATCTGTAATTTGGTTGTTGATTTACAGGGGGTCCAATCCAAGCAAGCCAAACAACCCAACCCCAAAATTTTGTAAACTGTTCAGCCATCTTTGGAAATATAGGCCGTCTTTTGACACTAATGGCCATCTAAATGCCGACTGGATGGCTCTAGGAACAGCCTTGTTTGGAGTACAATCATTAAATACAATGACAAATCAACTTTTTCAAATCCCTTTTAACAAATACCGGCCATCTAAATTTGGACAGGAAACTGTCGTCTATACCAAAAAGTCAATTTTTTAATTTGATGTAATAAATAAATAACATGCAATTTCTTAACAAGGAACTAGACATTAGGGGTGGGACATAGCAGATCAAGAACTGAGATAAACAATATTGTAAGATTAAATAACTAATACAATAAAATTACTCTTTTCTTCTTTAATACTGATATCCATTTCTCCCCTACCTCTTATCCCTTCACCTTGATATATTGCACGTGCAGCAGAGGTTATACTGTTATACTTGTATACATCGCTCTGCAATTAAATGATAGTATAAGAACACATGCACCATTATTTTAACAGCTGGGATTCCTTTAAGGGCAAAAAAAATTTGCTGAGTAGTGAAATAAGCTGAAAATATAATATACCTCTTTTCATCAGAAAACATAAAATACCCTATCCTTACAACAGAAATTCATTTTGTTCATTACAATTCTACATACCTGTAGATATTGTTATGGATTGATGCTTATATGATTTAAACAAGGGGGAGCAGTATCAATTTATTTCCAAAATATATTTGTTACAAAGAAGGCACAGTACCACACCAGTTAAAGATACAAGATCTAAAATACATCTGATTCAGTGCTTATTCGGGATTAAACCATATGCAATGTGAGCGAGTGAACTCAAGCATGTGACCAGAAGTTTCAGAGCACAGATGGCGATTCTTCTCTACCAAGCAAATACTTTCACATGCCTTCAGTTAATAGGTAACATATGTATATGTTGTAAATATGTAGTATACAGGGGCGGATCCAGAGCTATTTTCTGACAGTCTTCAAAATTATCTTTGTTGATCCATCCTCATTTTTGACCGTCTTCTGACAGAAAAAATTAGATACCCGTCAATACAGTAAACTTGAAAATCTGACCGTCTTCCGGAAGACCCAGAAGACGGCCTAAATCCGCCCCTGGTATATATAGTAATAACTCTATCTTTTCAGTGGGGGAAAATTGAATTTTACAGATACTGTATTTTTAAGTCATAGTTTCTTAAAATAAGAACATTCCTATTGAGAGGTAGCAATGAAATTCAATAGCAGGCAACCTTACATTTCTATTCTATGCAGTAAAAGCACAACAAATGCTATTTTTATGATTCTAAAATTATGTATCTGAAAAATTTAAATTCTTTGCCCATTAAAAAACATTCAGTCATTACCACTGTTGGTTACGACCTGGAATGTAGTTTCATTTAGAAAAATTCAGACACCCACTGAGGGGAGATAAGGCTCTTCATACAGATATCATCCGACCATGTTTAACAATTACAAATTTACCATCTGCATACATGTTTTACCTCATATCTTGTTTTTATAACAGTGAAAGGAGACAAGGTGACACCTGCAATACACCTGGCAAAAACTCCAAATGAAAGGAGTTCAATGGATGAAGGGTTGCTGCTCCTGAAAGTGTGTAGAATAAACTGCTGTAGTACTTAGTTTAAGTATGTGAAATTTATCAATATCATTCACTGGTCTCCTTTTAAAAAACCTCTTTCCAAAAGCAACACGGCTACATTCAGGAAAGTAAAGACCTTCTATTTCAATTAACTACATTTGCAGTCAATTACTAGTACTAGTATCTAAGTAATCAGCAAAATCAGTGGGTTGATGAGTTAAGTATCTTATGAAATACACAGTGTCTCATGCATGACCCAGAAGTGTAGTTCACCAGGGCTCTGTAACTTGAAATCATCGAGAATTGCATAAGCAATATCACCTTTCATTTTGAGGCTATTACATGAGGCAAGTAAATGCCGAGTTATGGAATAGAGACACTTGTGCTCGGTCACATATTTGCATTGCGTTCGAGTTACGGAGCCCAGTTTATCTACTTTTGTGGTACAAAAAATATTTGTTAAAAGTGTCCTAAACTCATCCACTGTCATTATCAAATGGAAGACAGTCAAATATTCCACTTATCCATTATTTAAAAAACAGTAACCTATCATTTAGATCTAGGGTTTAATAAAATACTACTGTGTTCTTCTAAGGTGCAGAAATAAATGCAAGGGAAACATTTTGATAATGTGCACTTCAACAAAATAAAATAAAATAATGATATAAAATGTATACAAACCCAAAGTTTGTCC